GGCAAGGATTCACTAAGCCCTTCATCAGCCATAGCTCCAATTCCCACTCTTAAGAATATTTTTATGCTCATCCTCCTCATGTTACAGATAAGAGAAGATTTCTGCAGGTAAGATCCTTTATTTAAGGTTAAAGGATTATATGGCCTTAAAGGGCTAATTTTTCCCTTAACAAATAACATGTGGGGAATAGTCATTGAAACTTAGCAGCTCCTTGCTTGAAAACTGTCTGATTTTGCGTATTACCTTCTTTGAATATTGTCTTTTGTAAAAGTAAGGATGACTGTTATAACTCACACATCAATGACTAAATCCACATGGATTTACATAAGAAAAGGAATTTAATACATAATTGATAAGTATAAAATATGTAGCCAAAGATACCAAACTTTTTAAAACTCGATTACGCTAAGTGAAATAAATCAGTATTTTCCTTCCTTTAGCCTCTTTTCTTTCCCTATCAGTCACATAACTTAGAACCCCAAAGTTGACAACGCATTCAAGATTACCTCGTCAGTAACTCATTTTAAGGCACCCAAACTGACAAAAATCTTAAATGAGAAGTAAACAAATCTCATTTTTTGGTAGCCTGATTAACTTGATCAAGAACACTTGACATCCTTCAGCAAAAAAAAAAAAAAAAGCTTGTAAACCTGACTTGATAAAGACTGAATTTTACCACTAAAACCATCTCATCCGTTTGAAAGGTAATCTGGTAACTGGACCCTTAAATAAGGCATTCATGAAATGGTATATATAACTTAATTCTTCCTTCCTGTTCACTAGTAATGTACACTCATAAAGGTTTAAATAAATATTACTCTTCTTCTTTGACTCTCATTTCCATGTGCTTTCATCCCTGTTTTCACATCTAGAAAAAACTGATCAGGTACATATGCTTTCCTTCAATGCATATTTCTCTCATAGAACTCTGCCTTGACCACTATAGTCTCCTATCAGTAATAAATCCACAAAAATTTATTATCTATTGGCACTATCAGAGGTGAATGCATTGAGATTGTTTCTTATTGTGGTTTATATATTTTGGGTCTCCCATTTAGTTGACTAACAGCAAAATAATCTATACATAAACCACACAGCATCTAATATTTAAATGCCAATTTCAAGATACCCAATGGCTCAGATTGTAACTATGTAAAGAAAATTGTTGTAATAGTGGTTCTACCATATAAAAATCTAATAGTGATTTTAGTAGACTGAGTTGCTTAAAGTTATGAAGCCAACAAGTAGCAAAGACTGAAGATAGCCTATTTGATCCAAAACAACCAGAAACCAAAGATCAATTTTAACAGGTTTAAGTACTTTAAGAAAAATGCTCTCTGACTTTTGATGAGCCATTCTCTGCTTCCCACATTTCTTATATTTAAAGACCACAACTCAACCCTATAGACCCAATTATAAAATTAGCCAATGAATCAGTAATTTAAAGTTGTCTGGTATAATCCCCCCACAACTTTGGAATCCCTTTCATAAATTCCTGAGAGAGTATTTAGGCCCTTGGAAAGAATATGTTGAAAACATCTCTACACCTGGAATCTAGTCCAGGGTCTGCCATTCACTAAAATGTCTTGGAGTAAGCTATTTCACTTCTCTGTGGCTGTTTCTTCATCCATTGAAGGGGGGGGGGGGAGTAACAAGATGATCTCAAAAATCTCTTCCTATTCTGAAGTTGCATAATTATGATTTCCAGTAAGGCTTACAATTTCCAGAAAAGTTTCATTCCATTTTATGACAGCGCTCATTGTTAGACTTTCTAAAATTCCAAGTACAAACTCCAATTCTGAAAGTCCATTTCTTGAAATGCACCCTAGAAGAATATGACCACATGTGTGTAGAAAACACATATAAGCATTTTCTTAATTGCAAAAAAATTGGAAACATCCGTTCACAGAGAAATATGGTATAATACTATGTGACACGAAGCAGCAGTTAAAAAGAATGAAGGAAACTACGTGTTAACGTTAATAAAAAATGAAAGTTACAGAATATGTACATTTTGATGCCACTTACAAAAAGAAAGCTATGAAGGTTTACATAGCACTTTCTGCAATAATAGAACAGTTCTATTTGCACAGTCCAGTACTGTAGCCACTAACCACATGACTTACAAATTTCTGAAATGTGGCTATTATAACTAAGAAACTAAATTTAAAATCTTATTTAACTACTTTAAATTTAAATACATGTAGCTAGCAACTAATGTACTGAACCATGCAGGATTACAAAACAACTTAAATTGTTCACTATGCTTAGTTACCTCTGCTGAGGAAACTAAACAGGAACACAGGGGTGAAACAAAGCAAATTAGGCTTTACCTGAATTATTTGAATATTTTAAAGCAAAGAATATTACTTATATAAAAATGAAATGCCTTATTGATCTTAAGCCAAAATCAGCCTATGAAACAACAGAGTTTAATTTTTCTCTTTCTATTCATATTTTAAAAATGGGCAAGTATGTAATAACTTTCCCCCCCAAAAAAAAATCCCTAAATTCTTCCCCTGCTCCTCATTTTTAAACAACTATCATAATTTGCTAATACAAAAGATGAAGAAATGCAATTATAAAAGCTACAGACCTATTATCAGGGGAGTAGGACATACTTTGTAATAACATTTTCGAATGCAGATGATGGATCTCAATGCAATGACCCTTCAAATGCTGGGGGGTGGGGAGGAACTGTCAAAGCTCCACAAGTCTTGTCTCCTCCAAATCAAAAAGCCTCCAGCCCTTATCAAAAGTAGAGTCAAACCTTTTCACCATCACAAGGCCATCCTGTGGCTCAAACAACAGTAACTCAAGTCAAACGTGAACATTCCTTAGAACCTTCTTTAGTGGTGTGGCATATTCACCAGAAGTTTCAGGCCAGGCTCTGAACACCTGATTATTTATTCATTCATTGATATTTACTGAGTGCTACTAGAACAATGAAAAAGAGATGCATGCACAGAGTCTCTGCACTCAAGAGTTCTACTTGAGTTGGCTGAAAAATCTCTCTATTTCAATTCACCTCAGACAGTCTAACTCACTTCCTGCTGGATACCATTAGGACCGTAAAAATCAGAGACTCTTTATTCAAGCTTCAACACAAATAATGGAAATCTACATAATGTGCCCAAATACTCCAACACAACAAACAAGTCCATGGGTAATTCCTAAATGTCCTTTAAATGGTTTTCAACAATCCAGAACAAAAAGATGAAAAAGAACAATGTAGCAGATAGACAGAATAAATTTTTCTATAAGGGTTGCTCATTATTACAAGACCGAATCCTTCCTAGATTTTTTTCTTATTATTAAAATGTTCTTTACTTCATGAAATGATGTTTTAGGTAGAAAGAGGAAAATACCTGATTTTTCTTCTGGTTTGTTTTTAAAGTCTTACTTGCCAAATAAGAAGACAGTAATGAAACTTTAATACCAAATACTTGTTGATATTTTATTTGTCCCTGTCATGGAATGATTTAAAGGACTTGAGAAAGTTCCCTCTATCCTAAAACACACAGAGTAAGCAAATAATCCTACAAAAAAATTACCTCCTTAATAGTTAAAATCATCATATTTTGGCACAAGGAAAAGTAAACTTTCCCTCTCTTTTGCTGTATTATTCACAAGATCATTAATGTCCCAGTAAAACATATCCAAATACACAGAATTATAAATATGCAAACAGTCTAATCAAAGAAAGTATACTGGTGACAGTAACAATTTTAATTCATGAGTTACTTCAGTAACAAAAATAGTAGAACTCTTATCAAGGTTATTTTTGGCTAGTCTTAAATATCATCCACATTGAAAATGGAGACTTTATATTTATTAAGCTCCAGAAAGAAAAGATTTGGGACCAAGAGAGAAAACAAAGAAAAAATTAAAAATTAGTTTGTAACAGCTTAATACAAACTATCACATAACTAATGTTTGTCACTGGCAGTGACAAAACTGCAAAATTTACTTAGTAATTGAAAGACACACAAAATTCCCATAGGGCACTCAATCCTCCACTCACCCACTCTACCAGCCCCCACCCCACAACAATAATCTGTCCTTACCTTCTGGTAATCTGTACGTTTTTGTGTAAGGATTGAAGTTTAGGAAGATAATATAACATAAACAAAACAAAAGGGGTTAGTAAGGCATAAATTCCCTAGTTCAAGACTCAGATCTCCCTTTATGTATGTGACCTTGTACAATCACTTCAAGCCCCAATTAACTATTTTTTATAGTTATAAGATAGACAGAATGCCTTTATTCTACTTATTTTTATGTGGTGCCAAGGATCGAACTCAGGACCTCACATGTGCTAGGCAAGCACTCTGCCACTGAGCTGAGCCCCAGCCCCCCAATTAACTATTATTAGCTCCACCGGAGTAAAGACCAATTCTGCCCGATTCATTACTGTAAGCTTTCTGACCCAAGCATTGAAAAAACTCAGATTTTTCTTGTACAAAATGAGGATTAACAGCATTTGTCTCACAGCATAAATTGGAGGAATAAATTATATATACATATGCGTGTGTGTGTATGTATGTGTGTGTATAGCTGACAGTAGTAATGCCCAATAATATTGACATTAACTAGCAACTATTAGACCTGAAAATGCCGTTTGAAGATTTTCAAATACAAACATGTGAAGCCTTTAACCATCAAACATAAACTGCTTGTGATTAAAATAAATCTTTTTCCCAGAAAATGTACTACTAGTTTCTAAAGCAGTGGGCTGAGGACTCTAATAACAGATGAACCAGGAATTGCGGGTAACAGACCTAAGCTATTAAAAAGGCATTCAGCAGACTCCTAAGTTCTACTTCAAAATCTAGGCCATAAGCATTGGCCCTACTGGCTTCCCAGTCTCCCCTTCGGACGTCCCCCGGCTGTCAGGGAACCCCCTCCTCTGAGCACAGGGGGAGGAGAGAGAAAACCTAGGAGGCGGGGGCCTGAGTTGGGGGAAAGTGAGCATCCCTGCGCCTCTCGCCCAGACCCACCTTAAGCAGGATGGACGGCGGCAGCTGGTTGATGTCTGGGGTTTCGGGGGGCGGCTCCCTGTGACAGTCGCAGGGGTTTTCTGGGGGCTCCTGACAATCCGCGTCGCCGCATTCATGCTGCTGCTGAGCGGACGAGGGGGCGGTACCCCCAGCTCGGACAGCGTCCCCGCCGGCCTCGATGGGGGCACTTTCGGAAGTGGGAGAGGAGGGCGGGGGACAGAGCGGTTGCGGGGGCTGCTCCTGGCAGTAGCCGGCGTCGGGGGGCCGCGGCGGCGAGGCGCCTCCTCCCGCAGGCCCTCCCCCGCCGCCGCCGCCGCCACCGCAGCCACCGCCGCCGCAGCGGGGCTGCTTGCAGGGGGTACAGGCGGGGACCCCGGCCCCCTTCCGTTTGCACACCATTTCGGGGGGCGTGGGGGGTTCAGCCGGTGTCGGACCCCGGAAGAGCTGCACGGCGGCGGGCGGCCCCAGGAAGCGCACGGGCCCCACGCTGGCCAGGAAGAGGCTCCGGCCCTGCTGCTCCCAGGCGGCGGCCGCGGCCAGCCCCAGCTCTTTGCAGCAGGAGGCGGGAGACGAAGCCGAGGCGGCGGCGGCGGCAGCAGCGGCAGCCGAGGACAGCAGGAAGCGGCGGGCAGCAGCGGCGCAGTCCTCGGCGGCCAGGGCCGCGTAGCGCCGTGCCAGGTGCTGAGAGGAGGCGGCGGCGTAGGCCCCGTCCCGTGGCGGCGAGAGCGGCGGCTCCTCCTCTGGGCCGGCGGGGGCGGGCGCGCCGGGGCTGTGCACGATGAAGCAGAGCATGCAGGGCCCGCGGAAGAAGCAGTCCCGGCTCCGGGGCGCCGCCGGCTGTGGGGGTGCCTTGGCCGGTGTCCGGCGAGGCAGCCTGAGGAGAGGGCGCCGCCGGCGACACCAGCTGCAACAGCGAGGCCTCTTCTGGCTCGGGCGGTTACGCGGCTCCTTCGAGAGAAGGTGGCCCATATAGAAGGCCCCGAGGAGGGGGACGGGGACGGGGACGGGGAGGGAGGGCGGCCCAGAGAGGCGGGCTCCCAGCAGCGGGGCAGCCTGCTCGCTGGCTGGGCCTCCGGCCCGCAGCGGAGTCGCCCGCCCGGCGCACACACGGGCACACACGCGAAGGTGGGGTGGGCGTCAGCTGCGGGCGGCCCGGGTGCCCGAGGAGGGCTACATGCTTTGCCCCGGGAAGCTGGGAGAACGATGGGCGCGAGCTTTAGGGACCCGAGTGAGCGAGCGAGTCTGCCTGCTATGCAACCAGTCCGCACCCGGCCAGCCGGCTCAGTCAGTCAGCGCCGCGGCAGGGGCAAAGCCGAGTCCCGCTCGGACCATTTTAACTGCGGCTCCGCCGGCGGCGCGCGCGCCCGCGACACAGCTCAGAACCGCAGGAGCGCGCGGCCCGCTCCAGGAGGGGGCGGAGCTGGCCGCGAGGGCGCGCTCGGGGCGGAGACACCAGCCCCGGGCTAGTTTCTCGGGACTGCAGCCAGGAAGGCCCTGCTAGGGGGGAGCTGACCCGCGAGGGTGCAGAGCTCCCGGGTGTGGCGCGCTTCTCCCTCCGGTCGCCCAAGGTTTCTCCGGGGCCGCCGGGCTCTAGCCTCTTCTGAGGAGGGAGGAGACACTTCCGAGCCAGCTGTGTGACATCCGTTTCCACAGCCGCTCTGACGTCTTGAGGTGTAAGTTCAAGAGCTGCCATTGGCCAGGAGCCGCTGGGCTCTTCCCCTCACCTTCCACCCTATCTTCACCCCCGACTCGGAAACTGAGGCCGCTTTGGTGCCGAGGAACGGGTTCCGCCGGAAGGTCCCCTGGCGGGAGTAGCGGATGCGCTCCCGTTGAGTGGTGCGCGGCGGTCCTGTGAGCGCCCGGTTGCTTGCGCGGCACCACTGTTTTTCCCCACTTGTTCTAGTACTTGTTGCATATTACTGACTTTTCATAATGGAAGCATTTTACAAATTACCTGCACACAGCAGAAAGTTAACATTTCCCACTCTAGTGAGTCATCCAACATTCCAAGCTACAAGCTTTAGGTGACCGTTGTCTGCACCCTGAGAATTCTGCCTACCCATCCATTTTAAACCTGTTTGTGCAGTGTCTGTATGAAAAACCTTGGTTGCCCCGGTGAGAAGGAGGAAATAAGCTTCCCAGGAGACTGGGAATTCTAAGAGCATATTCCTACTGCATTGTAACGGGGAGATAGATAGGGTTAGGGAGCACTCAACAGACAAAATCTGCCCTGATCCTTAATATCTGCAGCCGAGTTAAGAGCATTAATCTATTCATGACAATGGAGCCTTCATGTCCTGCTTACCTCTTAAAGGTCTGAGGTCTTAATAATGTTGTAGTGGCAATTAATTTCAATGAATTTTGGAGGGGATTTTCAAACCATAGTAACCAGTATAAAGGAGAAGGTATGGGGAAGAGAAGATGTAGTAGATAGAGCTTTAAAGGGATATTTTGGGGGGTTTTTGTTTGTTTATTTTTTTGTTTCATGTTGACTGGAGAGAATGAGGACAAAATAGATACAAAGAGGTGGGTGTTTCTGACAGGACCATGAAAGAGTTCCTTTCTGATATCTTCTGTTTTCCATTAAGCAGAGCCTCTTTACCTGCTGAAAGGTGGTAGAGAAGTAGCAGTTGATTTTAAAAGCTATTAAAGATAACCTAAGAGGCTGACCAAGGAAGCAATATTGCAAGACTCAAGGCCCATGGACTTGGAGACCACTGCTTGAATCTAAATGTGATTTTCCCAGTATAGTCGCCAGCCTCACCCAGCCTTCACCCATCAAACCTGTTCTAGTAATGACCTCTTTGTCAGAAATGACTTTTAAGTCTGTCATTCAGGAATCTCCCCCTTCTAAGTTTGGTCATAATGAAAGAATCCTAAAGGCAAAAATTTGTCAGAGGATTTCATATTGAATGTGTGGCACAAGGTACATTTACAACATGGCTTTCATCCCTGTTGGCTGTATGCAGAGAGATCTTCCAAGGTCCCAAAACTCTATTGGGGAGTGGTCCATTGATGAATGGTTGGTTATGGTATTATAACACATTCTTTGCTATCTTTACTAGACTGTGCTTTGAGAAAAAGAAGTGGCTGTTCTGAAACTATTACTTTCTCAATGCCAAAATTATATTCCTATCCTTTTCATGTAAGTCAAAACATGTATCTGTCCTATAACCAGAAATCCCACATCTGGTATTTATCCAGGAGAAATGAAAGCATACACACACAAAAAAAATCTACAGAAATGTTCATAGCAACTTTGTTATCAACAAAAATTGCAAGTACCCCAGATGTTCATCACTAGGAGAATGGAGTAGATAACGAGGTATACTCATTCAATGAAATACTACTCAGTGATAAAATGTGAATAAATCTCAAAGTTTGTGTGTACTGAGGTATGGCAGGTGAGGGAGGAGTTTTCTCACCCCTGTAGTCCCAGCAACTTGGGAGGCTTAGGCAGCAGAATGGCAAGTTTGAGGCCAGCCTTGGTGAAACTCTTATCTAGAATTTTTTAAAAAGCAAATTTTTTTAAAGAGCTGGGCAATGTAGCTCAGTGGTAGAGCATCATTGGGATCAATCCCCAGTAGTGCCCAAAAAAAAAAAAAAAGGGGGGCATTGAATCAGACTCTCTGGAACTTGAGCCCTGGAATCTACCTGATTGAAGCAAACTCTGTACAATTCCTGTTTTTTTTAAAAAAAAAAAAAAAATGCAGCTGGGTGCAGTGGAACACATTTGTAATCCCAGTAATTTGGGAGGCTGCAACAGGAAGAGTGAGAGTTTAAAGCCAACCTCAGCAACTTAACAAGGCCCTAAGCAACTTAGCAAGGCCCAGTCTCAAAATCAAAACTAAAGTTGGGCGCAGTGGCACGCGCATAAATCCCAGTGGCTTGCAGGGCTGAGGCAGAAAGATCTCAAGTTCAAAGTCAGCCTCAGAAAAAGTGAGGTACTAAGCAACTCAGTGAGCCCCTGTCTCTAAATAAAATACAATATAGGGATGGGGATTTTGCTCAGTGGTTGAGCACCCCAGGTTCAATCCTCTGTACAAAAGAAAAAAAAAAAAAAAACTTTGAAGCCTAGGATCATCAGTATCTCTTTTTTTGTTTGTTTTTCCTTTTCTTCTTTACCATGTGTATAGCAGAGAATCTTGTATATTTTAGGCTCCTACTAAAGTCACCAAAACTACAATGAGTTTTATAACTCATCACCCTAAATACTTATATTGATGAATATTCAGTAATAATTACAAATAGTAATTGTAAAATACAGTTATACATACAACTGTAGCAGCTGATGGCTTTATTCGTAAGAAGAGGAAATACATCCCTGGGAGCTGGACTGGTGCTATTAGCTAGGCATTAGTGTTTCTGGCAGCTGGCCTGGCATTGCTAACTAAGTCAATGTTCTATTGAACATGGTCTCACAAAACTGTTTGACTACTCTCTGACTGAAATAGACAAGACAAAAATAAAACCTCTTCATAACTGTATCTGAACACTGCAAATATAAAAACATCCTCCAAACCACAAACATGACCAAACATTTTGACTATTATAAGTAATTAATATGTTTTGACCATAAATACAGTCTTAGTTTTGCTACATTCTTCCTGGTTTCTAAATAACAAATATTAAAATATCCAATTATAAAATCACCTCTGTTTTTTGACAGTATCCAATCCAGAGTAAAGCTTTGACCCTTTCCCCAATCACGTAATAAAACCCCAATTCTATATAATATCTTTTTTACAATACCTTGTTACCATGAGTTTCCACAGTTCTTTATGGTGTTCTCTCTGCTGCAACAAAGCATTAAACCCAGCCTGGTGTGACTAGATATTTTCCTGCTGAGCTGTAGGTGGAGCACATTAACATTTGTTGTCATCAAATGTCACCACCATATCCAAAAATTATACTCTCCATTATTATTTCTTCTGATCCTGATTTTACTTCCTTTATAGCCCATTATCATATGTTTATTCGGAGTGTTGGTGTGGTTTTTTTCTTTGTTTAGTCTTCCACTAGATTGTAAACTGCATGAGGACAAGGACTTTGTTCAGTTTTTAGGAAAATAATCTGGCAACTGTATAGAAGATGAACTAAAGTAGAAACAAACTCTTAGCAAGAAGGCTAGTTAAGGTTATTTAAATAGTCAATGGAGAGGCCTTAAAATTATGAATTAAAACATGCTAGGGATAATGAAGTAGGATTAGGACTGAGAAATATTTCTGAAATATATTTCTCAAGATTTAATAAAATATTAATTGGTTAGAGGGGAGAAAATGTTGTACAGGAAGGAAAGGAAGAGCCCCCAAATTGCTACTTGTATGTTCATATGATTTATTTCAATGTATAATTTGTTGTAGCAAAACAGTGGATTCTGTGATATGAAATATGTATGAATAATATTCCAACCTGGGATACACTTGTGTAATGACATAGCAATAGTTGTGCTGCAAACCAGTATGTACATTTAAAATGCAAAACACTTTAATAGAAAATCCTTTTCTTTTCATTCTTTGCTAACATGAAATGTACTCTTTGAAATTCACATTTGCCTCTAAAAATGATACCCACATATAGAAGGCTTTAATGCATGCGTTTGGGTAATGGTGACTGTTGTAAATAGCTAAAGCTTCATATAGCACAAATGATACAAGGAGGGAACAGTCCATGTGCCATTAATCCCCCTGATGGTGGTAGATAGTATGCATGGCCTATAAGGGCATTCTCTCTTTTTTTTTTTTTTAATATTTATTTATTTTTTTTTAGTTATCGGCAGACACAACATCTTTATTGGTATGTGGTACTGAGGATTGAACCCAGGCCGCATGCATGCCAGATGAGCGCGCTACCGCTTGAGCCACATCCCCGGCCCTATAAGGGTATTCTCAAAGGGCAGAAAAGACATTGTCGTGTGCATCTGAAAATCATGGTTTCCAGTAGTTTTAACTCCTTATTTAGTTGTATTT